CAAATTGAAAAAATAACACATGACCTGAGACACAGAAGAGATACGTTAATATGGGACTATATAATGTATCCTGATGAAATGGTCTATGACCACTGCGGTGGTTGTATTTCCCTTATGAATGGGGTAAATTTGGTATAAAGTCACCTTCCACTTCCCCTCTCCCCCCACTCTAATACCATTGTTAAGGAGATGCCACCCAGTGACTGTAATTAGGATCCCTTATGGCCTTTCATTTTTGTCAGGCTCTGTCTGCTGGCATTGTTCTAAGATTCTTCCAACATTGTCACATGCTGGATTGTTAGTGTTTTAGCCAACCTAACAGGTGCAACCAGGCACTCATAGTGATTGAACCATGCATTAGAATGTGAGCTCCTTGAGAGAAGGGACTTTTTTCTTCTCTTTCTTGGTGCCCATAGTGCTTAGCACAGGACCTGGTATATATACTTAATAAATGTTTGTGGACCGACTGAAGTATTTACTGTTTTCCATCATCTTCAGTTTCTTGGAAAGAATGCTAAAAGACGTAGGTTCAAATCATAGTTCTCCCACTTACTACTTATGTGGTCTTGGGAAAATCTACCTCTAGACTTCATCAGTTTCCTCATTTGCAAAAGGAAAGGAATGACAAAATCAAGGATGATTCTAATGTTTCAGTTAGTGGTGATAGGAGAATGGAAACAGAAAAAATGGTTATAGAGAAAAGAGGAGAACTAGGCCCCTCATCACTTCTAATTATGGCTCCTAAATTCTCTAGGTTCTTTTCTGTTGTTATATTTTTGGAGGCAGCTCTCCTAAGAAGTTACAGAACACAATTTTTAGCTTTTACATAGAAATATTTACTTAAAAAGAAATAATCAGAAATACATGAATATACTTTCTCCTGTAATACATGGGAGGCAAAATCCTCTACTGCCTCAGTCTCTGGGAAGGGGAAGGGGATTAGATTCATAGTTTAGCTCAGTTGCTATAGACCACAGTCCCAGTTCCAAGTCCAAAATTTCCCTGGAGCTTGAGTCCAGGTGATGAGGTTTTGGGGTGCTGGGACCCTGACAATACTATGGCAGAGTTGCTTGGAATGAATTCACACACTGAAGCTTTCTCTTAGTCAAATGGCAAAAAGTTCATTGTAATGCTTTAGGTAAAGTGGGCAAGAGTCCTTATGGGAACCCTGTGAGAGTCTGAGGATGGTGCTGGGGTTTATATGGAAAAGGGGCATGGGAAAGGAATGCCAGAGATATTAATTGGGTAATCTAAGGGTCCAGGTATCTTTGGGAGCTATGGATTGGAAAGTGTAGGGAATATGCCAGACATTGAGGGAGTTGTCGGAGACAAGGACCATGGAGATCTGGCAGGAGGAAGAGTTCTTGGGCCAGCCGGGGACAAAAATCCTTGGGGCAGGCACCCCTCTGTCTGTTCTGATAAGAGGTTGTGTTCTGCAGTAAGAGAAAATTTTCTCACAGGAGAGGGGCTTACTGAGAAATCGGTAGGCTTCCAGAGATGTGATCTTAGGGCTAGGGCCCAAGCACCCCAACACCGGCACCCTGGCTTCTCAGGGCTTCCATGCCAGGCTGGCTATACTACCCTCCCTGCAATCCTTGCCCCAAGGTAGTTTGAATTCCCATTCTGTAGGATCACTTCCTACACCTGAAACTGAAGAACACAAACAAAATAGAATAGAAACAAACATTTCCAGGGCCTTTTCTCCAAGCTCGGGTAAAAAGAGAGGTAACAAGGAAAGTCCATCCATTCTCACTTGTTCAGTTCATGGTATCCTGATTGTGATTTAACTGAGATCCCCACCCTATGGACATAGCCAGTAAGAGAGCAGCAGAAAAAGGACAATTGTATTTTTAAAAAATACTCAAGGCAATCAAATATATTATGAAACAAAAAGGAATCTACGATAATTATCCAACAATATTGTATTGAAATTAACAAAGTTATCACCTCCTTCTTTTGGTATTTGTTTTTCTACCCAATATTTAGACCCATTCAGCCCCTATAAAACCAAGCAAATCATATTTGCTTTGGGAGACAAGCAACCTAGTGTCTCAGAGATAAAAATAAAGCAAACTGGGAGCTCTTGAACATTAATAGGACCTATTTCTTAGAGCAAGTAAGCTAAAGCTATTGATAGGTTTAAAAATAAATTTCTAAATATAAGGCACATAATGAACAACTTTCAGGTAGCTCTGTGAAAATAAAACTTTGTATGAAAACAAATGAACAAAAAAAAATGAGAAAAGTATTTGAAGATTGATTCTGAATAGGGAAAGAACTGGTACTATAATCTGAAACTAAGTGTACAATTTATCAGAATTTGAAAAGGCATAAATAATCAGTACCTTTATAAACTCTTGGAAGTATTCATTATAGTGACTTAACTCAGGTGAACGTGTGCTTCCAGTGGAGCTCATGAAAACTTTAGGAGCCCCAAGCTGTAACAGTTATCAACTATTCTCCCTTCATCCAGCACTGCCAAAAGTTAGTATAGGGTTCTGTAGGGAGCCCAACCCAAGTAGACTAGAGTCCACAATAGACGTTGTTTCACAGATCAGAGCATCTGTCTTCATTTCAGGTCCTCATTATTTTATTTATTGAAACTTAAAGCTTTAAATAAAACTGGTGAGCTTGGGAAAATTTGACTTATCTCAGATAATATAACTTTAAAAAGTACCTAAGTGATCCTCTTTCAGGGTCTTCATTGAGGGATGTCTAGATCACCCTAGAACATTTACAGGGAGTTAGAAATAAGTAGAATAATTCACTATCATACAAAATGATGGAATCTTCTAGGGGACTGATTAATTTACCTAAATGCTTCATAATCCTCTTAATCTTATAAACATCTTTCCTCTCATGAAACTTCATTGGGTATTCCTTCTCATTAGGGGCAATAGGAAACAAGATTAGTAAAACATTTTGATTGAGAACCTCCAACTAAAAAAAAAAAACTTACCATGTACTCCTCAGGGTCCCTTACTTTATTTGAGTGCCAAAGTATTTTAGTTACTGCTTGGGTAATAGTTGCTGATAAATGGCAACATTTGAAAAAATTTATGTATGTGTATGTATGTGTGTGTGTGTATATATATATATATACATATATATATATACACCTATGCACACATACACATATGTATGAAGGAAGGAGAAAAAAAGTAGATTTAAATTCCTTCTTTTCCTCCTTCCCTTCTGTAAGGTATAAGAAATTATGTTTCCATAGATGTAGAGGAAGTGGTCTTAAAGTCGACTATAGGTGTGAAAGGAGCGGTATTACTCAGAATTGTTTTTAATAAAAATATTCAGAATAAAAAGTGCTGAAAAGTATGATAAAGGTTACATATTGATCAAACTGTGTGTGCTTAATAAGCTTATGTAGAGGGAGGGAGGAACATATTAAGGAGTAATGTGAAGTAGGTGTTCTAGGAAGTTGTACACCTTGAAGTGTCCAGCCAGTGGAGAAACGAGGGAGGGACCTTGCCTTCAGGGACAGGAATATAACTGCTTGCTCTGGGGTTTGTTTGCCTCTAGCAGCGCGCTCCCTTCTTGCAAAAATTTATAATAAGTGAGCTTGCCTCATCTACCTCGGGAGTCTGTGTCTTTGCTATAGAAGTTATTTCTAACACCTTCTTCCCTCCCTGTAGCCAAGGGTAGTGGGATGGAAAAACAAATAGCAAAAAACATTTAACTGTTTATTTTTTGAAAAGGAAGTAACTCACAGAACAGGGCAAGGTTTCTCAACTGCCGAAGGTAGAAGAAGCATTCATATGGGATAAGTCAGCCAACACTGACTCTGATGCTTCTGTAGGGACAGGTTAGGTAAAGAAGGAAGGTCCTCTAGACAATTCTGAATTTTCTACCCTGGACCAAATTCCCAATAGCCCTGCCCTCATGACAGCTGATTGAATAATGAAAGCCATGAACTACATGCTGTAATTTGAAAATGTGCCAGTTTAGTGTTTTTCTTTATTCTTTGTTTTTTAATTATTGAGAGATGTAACGAAAATGTTCGCGTAAATTTGGAGCAAACAGCTAGAAGAAAAGTAACGAAGTAAAACAGGATACTGCAGGTCTTACCTTGTTTTGCTCATAGAAGTTAAGTAGAACAAAAGAGTCCATAAAATTGAAACAATTGCTAAAAGTAAGTAAAATGGGGTGCAGCTGGTCTTACCTTGTTTTGCTGATAGAAGTTAGTAAGTAGGACAAAGGTTAAGCTTTGCTTAGTGTGCACACGCTTAATAGGTTTATAAATATTAGCTTCTCCACCTCCAGCAGGGGCAAAGACACCATTTTCTGAACATGGGGTGTATGAAGAAGGAGCAGGGACGTGTCAAGGAGTAGATGAGTAATAGGCATGCCAGAAAGTTGTATACTCTGGAGTACTCAGCCAATGAGGAAACAGGAGGGACTTTGTGGCCGAGATTAGAGATAAATAGTGAACTCCTGCTTTGGTATAGGGCGTCCTACTAGTCCATAGGACACTCATGGTTGCAACTGTGTAATAAACTGGGCTTTTAACTTCTTCCCTCCTGAGTCTGAATGAGTTATTCGTCACATTATAAACTACCATTTATATTTTTTCCATGATTAATTTTTAAAAATATCAAGTAGCTTACAATTAGACTATAAACTTTTTGAAGGGACGCACTATTTCTTCTGGTTGTTCTGCTTCTCCATAGTTCCTAGGAAAGTGCTGGGCACGTTTTAGGTGTTTATTAAATATTTGCTGATTGATTGTTTTCCCCTTTCACCTTAGCTGTTCTTTCCTTACCACTCCCTGCAACTGTGTGCTTAAATTCTATAGCCTCATTTTAAAACTAGTTTAAGTAAAACATTGTTAGGAAGAAGCATTTGCTCATTTCAGAGGCACCTATGGATGATTCTCAGATTATACAATATTTTGGATTATTCCTACCGCTACTTATCTTGAATAATAGAGACAAGCAAGACAACTGATAACAGACTCTCTTTTTCCTTCTTTTTTATCTTACACATAGGTAATAGTGATCCAAAAATATTTCCGAAGGTGGCATGCCAAAAAATTTGTAGAAAACTTAAGAGAACAAAAAAGAAAAAGGTTGGAGTGGGAAATGCAAGAAAAATTAAGGAAGGAAAAGGCAAAGAAAGAGTGGCTGCAAAGAGACTATGATCGGAGAATAAATCCACAAGCAAATGAAGACTTTGAACTTCTTTTCCATGCGTTGGAAGGTAAGTTCAATTTAATGTAGGCTCTGTGTATAATGTTGCTTTAACAATTTCTTGATAGGATGACCATGTATTTTCCCAAAGCCAAGTGGGTTATATTTTCCATTTTAGAAAAAGTCCTTTGTGTATTTAGAATTTTTAAAATTACGAACCAGAAACAAAAAGAAATAACCAAAGAAACATAAATATATGAGGAATCAAATCTTATATAACACCCTTAGATTTTGATAAAGTAGAACCGAACAAATCAACAATTAAGCAAAAAAGGATGTTCTTGTTCTCTAAGTCTTTTCAAAGTTCTTCGACCTTCAACTTTGTTTTCTTTAAATATATGTATATATTTGTATGTTTACATATGTATTACATAGTTAATATGTATAAAGTTCTGATTGTATTGATCCCAATATATCACTTTGTATGTCTTTCCATAAGTCCTTGTATGCTTCATATTGTTCTATTTTAAAGGCACAAAAATATTCCATTCACATACTAAAATTTAGTCAACCAGTCTCCAATCATCAGACACACAGGTTGTTTCTAATTTTTTGCAATGACAGAGCAAATATGAATTTTTTTTGGTGCAGATATGTCCTTTTCTCCTTTTAAAGTTCTCTCTTTTTTTTTTGTAGGCTAAATTTTTCACTATGATAGAATAAATTTCTTATCTCATCATGTCTGAAAGTAATGATCAGTTTTACAGCTTTTGTTGTATGTTGCCATAATACTGTATTTGCATCCATCTAAAGATACGCCAACAATGCATTATTGTGTTGTGCCTGTTTTCTTTGTGCCATCTTTGATAAAAGACTGTGAACATTTATTTTGTGAATGTTGTTGAATGTCTCACCTCAGACTTAGAATTTCAAACTCCACACGTCTAAAACATAACTCGTTGTCTTTCCCCCTGTACCCCAAACTTCTCCCTTTCTGAAACTTCCCCAATACTAGAGTGTCACCATCCTCACAACCACCTGGGCTCCCAACCTTAGCGTTATCCTTGATTCTTCACTCTTACTGACTCCCCATGCCTTGTCGATTGCCCTGTCTCGCCCTTTCTGCCTTCACAACATCTCCTGTACGCATCCCCTTCTCTCCACTCAGACAGCCACGATCAGGCCTCCGTCACTTCTTGTCTGTACTATAGTAGTCTTCTAACTGATTTTTTCCCCTCAGGTCTTTATCCACTACAGTCCATCCTCCTGTCAGATGCCCAGATGGTTTTTCTAAAGTGTAGGTCTGACCATATCACCTCCTCTCAGTGAGTTTCCCTGGGACCCTGGGTGTTATCTCAGGATCATACAGAACCACCTCTCCTTAGCATGTCAGCGTTTTTGTAACCAGGCCCCTTCCTATCTATCTTTCAAGTCTTCCTGCGTGTTTCCCCTCTGTTCAGTCTGTAATCTGGCCAGGATGTCCTACTTTTTGTATCTCAGATACAGCGCTCCCATCTCCTTTTGCATTGTTTGATCCACCCGCCTGGAATGCTTGGCCTCTTTATCCCTCCCTCTCGGTTTCTGATGAGGAGATTTCTGGGAAAGTCCAAAGGAGTGAAGCCAGGTGGGAAAGTAGTGTTAATTTCTCATTAATTTCTTTGAATGATAGTCAGCATTTATTAAGCTCCTACTATGTGCTAGGCATTGTGCTAAGCTTTGGGGGTATAAAGAAAGGCAAAAGACAGATTTTGCCCTCAAGGAGCTCACAGTCTACTGGAAGAGACGACATGCAAACAGATATATACAAATAAGCTGTATACAGGATGAACAGAAAATAATCAACAGAGGGAAGGTATTAAAATTGAGGGATTGGAATGGCTTGCTGTAGAAGGTAGGATTTTATCTGGGACTTGAAGGAAGCCAGTGAAGCCAGGAAGCAGAAGTGAGGAGGGAGAGCATTCCAAACGTGGAGTCAGCCAGAGAAAATGCCGCGAGCTGACATGCACGATGGCTTGTTTGGAGAGCAGCAAGGAGGCGAGTGTCACTGGATTGAAGAGTAAATTGGGGGTGGGGGGCTTGTAAAGCATAAGAGGACTAGAAAGGGCAGTGGGTGAGGGAGGCTAGAATAGGAAGGGCTTTGACTATCAAGTAGGATTTTGTATGTGACCCTGGAGGTGATTGGGATTTTATTTGTGTGGGGGGCGGGGTGGGGGAGGGGATCACTTTGGCCACACAATCGATGGATTGGAGTGGGAAGAGGCTTGTGGCAGACGGACCAACCAGCAGGCAGTGGCCCTGGTGTAGCTGTGAGGAGATGAGGACCTGTACCAGGGTGGTGGAAGTGTCAGAGGTGCTGCCGAGATCCAGAAGAGAGTGGTGTCTCAAAAACCTAAAAAGAATGACTCAAAAAGAGGGCGAATAACGGTACCAAGGGCTCCATCAAGGAGGATGAGGAGTGAGGAAAGGCTGTTAGATTTGGCAGTTAAGAGATCATTGGTAACTTTGGAGGGAGCAGTTTCAGCCGGATGATGACTTCAGAAGCCAGACTGTAGAGATCAAAGAAGAGCGAGAGGCGAGGAAGTGAGACACCTATTGCAGATGGCCTTCTCAAGGTGTTCAACTGTGAAGGGCAGGAGAGATGTGGGATGACAGTTATTGGGGATGGAAGAATCAGGTGAGGGTTTTCTGACAATGTGTGTTATAGTTGTTGATTGCTGGACATTTCCATAAAATCTTTGAACCCAGTTTCATAAAGTATTCCCATTCTTTGAATACTGTGAGTAACTTTTGTCTTTGAGATTGGTGCCCTCTTGTGGCTTGTGATGAAGCTACTGTCCCTTGACTGGGAAACTTAAACATCTTTCCCATTTACTCCATTCTAAGCAAGTGTTGGCCATTCTCCTTGCCAAGGGCAACCCCTTCATCCGTGTCCTTTATCCTATACCCTCCTGTCTTCTCCAGGAGCTGGTATATAGTACTTGCCGTGTGCCATATACCATGTTAAGCATTTTACAAATATCTTATTTGATTCTCACAAAAGCCCTGAAAGGCAGGTGCTATTATTATCCCCATTTTATAGTTGAGGAAACTGAGGCAAACAGAGGTAAAGTGACCTGCCCAAGGTCATATAAGTAGTAAGCATGAACTCAAAAACTTAGTCTTCCTGACTCCAGACCTAGCACTCTATCCACTGTACTTCTTAGTTGCCTCAAAAGACACAGACCCAAATGAGGGCTTGGCACTGAAGTCCTAAACGATGAGAGGGCCAAAGAACAAATCATAGAAACAATTAGTGATTATGTGAGAAAATGACAATGAAATGACATATCAGGATTTCTGGGATGCAGTCAATGTAGTCCTCAGGGAAGAAAAAATCATATCTCTGCAAACATACATTAACAAAATAGAAACTAGAAGATTAATGAACTGACCATGCATTTAAAGACTAGAAGTCCAACAAATAAACAAACATAAATAAGCACAAAAGAAGAGATTGTAAAAATGAGATAAATAGATAAACTGGAAACAAAACAACAATCTGGAAAAATAATGAGCAAAACTAAAAGTTGATTCTTTCAAAAGATTAAAAATAGTAAAAACTAAAAGAGATTAAAAAACTTTAGCTAATATGATTAAAAAGAGGCAGAAAATCGAATCAATAAAATAGCAAATAAGCAAGGTAAGATCACAACAAAATCAGAAGAAATAAAAAGAATAATCAGAACTTACACATAGTTATATGCTAACAAAACTGAGGACAGAAATAGAAGAATACCTCCAAAATATAAAATACACAAAATGATGGAAGACCAGATGGAGATCTTAAATAACCTAATCTCAGGAAAGAAAATTGAACTATCCACAAAGAAACTAACAAGGAGGGGGGAACCAGCAACTCTTTAGCCTTATGGATTCACAAGAGAATAGCTATCAAACTTTTAAAGAATACTTAGTATCTATACTACACAAATTATTCTTACAAATTAAGAAAGGAAGCACCCTATTAGAATCCTTTTGTGAAACAAATATAATCCTAATACCTAAATCAGGAAAGGATAAAACACATAGGCCAATATCACTAAATATTAATTCAAGAATTTTAAACAAAATACTATTAAACAGACTATAGTGATTTATCCAAGAAACCATTCATTATGAGCAAATGATATTTATATCAGGAATGCAAGACTAATTCATCATTGGGAAAACAATCAACATAATTAATCATTTTAAAAAACCAAAACATCCAAAACCATATGATCATCTCAATAGAAGCAGAAAAGTATTTTTTGACAAAGTATAGCACTCTTTTATGCTAAGACCCAATGAAGTACAGGTCTAGAGGGACCTTTAAAAATGTATATATATTTTTTCCAAAAAACTTCTAAAACCCAAAGTAAGCATCAAAAGCAAGCTTATGGGGATATATTAGAACCTTTCCAGGTAAATAGGGGAGTAAAGTAAGGATACCCAAACTCCACACTATTACTTGGTGTAGTTCTGTAAATGGTAGTAATGGCAATAAGACTAGAAAAAGCAATTAAAGGCATAAATGTAGGTAAAGAGAAGAGAAAACTATCCCTATTTGCTGATGATATGATGGGATACTTGGAAAACCCTAATCAGCAAAGACACTAATTGAGTTAATTAATACCTTCAGCAGACTTGCAGGTTAGAAAATAAACTCTCAAAAAGCAACTGCGTTTTTATATAACAATAACAAAATCCAAGAAACAATAACAAAAAAAGGGAAATCCCATTCCAAATAACTAAAAAAAATTAAGTATCTATAGATTGTTCTACTAAAGTACTCAAAAGAGTCGTGTAGATTTAAATACAAAGTACTCCTTAAAGAAATAAAGAACAGCTTAAATAGCTGGAAGAATATTCAGTGCTCATTACTGGGCCATACCAATATAATGAAAATGACAATACCACCAAAGTTAATTTTCACTTTTAATGCTATACCAATCAAATTACTAATGGATACTTTATAGAACTTGATAGGCATAAGAGATAGCTAGTAAAAAGGCACAAAGAAGGGGTCAGGAGATAAATTGTAGTAAGCAGAGAAAAGCAAGAAGGCCTTTGTTGCTGGACCATAGACTCCCAAATTTAGTTTTTGTGGAAGTTGTGGGTGTTCCTTGCTTTTATCTAACAATGACATACTGATGTGATTATGGATGGAGTCTATCAAGAGTCCACTTGAATCTCTTGCATAACCCCATTTGGCCATATAAACACGGAAGTATTTGGGAATTTATGTAGCTAGAGGAGGTCATATCAATAAACACCCTGGAGTGCATTGGGGACAGAGGAGTGAAGGCAGGAGTTGGAGAAGTGGCTCAAAATGGGGGTGAGAAGGCAAAAAAGACACTTCTACCTATATTGTAACTTTGCTTAAGGCCTTGGCCCTGCCTCTTGTAACTTACAAATCATTGTGGTAGATTGATAAGGTATTAGTATGAGTTTGGAAGTTTAGAAGCCTCGAACTCAAATACTCAGTCTCTCCTGTGCATCCACCCCATTCCTTTCCCGTGTAATTTTGATTAGAAGCCATGACTGATGCTATAGTGAGCATGCCTTTCACTCGGGAAGGAGCTGAAAAGTGAAGAAAGAAAGGTGAAGGATGGAGGAGGACCTAATAAGATTGACAATTACGTGTAGTTAAGTTTCATTTGTGATTTCCTGTGACACTTTTTTACAAAGAGGGTCTATTCATTAGTTTAAAAAATTTCATTTTTTGCTTTCCTTTCCAGAGAGGATTCCTCTTATCTTTTTCGTTATCCATCTTCTCTTTCTGCCTAGAATAGACCTTGGTTCATGATCCCTATAATTATCTAGTCTCTTCCTATTTTCCTTATTTCTCATGCTATCAAAACTTCCAAGGTATCTATTTTGGGTTATTCCTTTTAGGCCTGTTTCTGCCCACCTTATAGAGCTTGTTCCTTGTACCCTTTTCCATTGTACCTAACTTCCAAAATAATGCCAATTCCTGTGTGGTAGAACCCTCACCCCACAATGTTTCTGAATATGCAGCCTACTACTGTTTTATTTTCTCCTCCCCTAGCTATCTGATGGGGCCCAGGAAGCTTCTGCCCCTGGAGTGCTGACTTAGCACTGGTTGCCTGTGGTGGCTTGAACAAACTCCTGTAGCCTGGACCTTAGATCTCCATGGCAGCAGAAAGTGAGAGGGGGGACCAAGGTGGGTCCTTGGCTTTTGTTGCAAGTCCATGTGTCAGGTCATTGAGTTGGCTAGTGCAGCCTTGCTGCCAGTAGTGTGGTGGTAGTAGAGAAGGGGATGTTGAATGAGCTTAGGGTAGGCATCGGTTCGTGGTTTGTTTTTGTTTTAGTTCTTATTGCCTTCTTTTGGATTCTGGGTGTCCGAGATCATGGAGACAATTGACGTTGCTTTATTTTTGGTGTATAATTTCCATTTCGGAGATGTTTGAGAGGTTGTGAGGATCAGGGAAAATGGTTAGTCTTACATCTTATTGGTCACATAATCTCAAAATTGCGTTAGCTTTTAATAGATAGCAACCTAATATCTGTTGGATTACAAACCAGTGGTTTGGTGTGAGTTAGTGAAAAACAACAACCACAACAAATAATTTTATAACACATTGTTGACATATAATAAAGTTGGATTAAATTGTGTAATCTGGTATATGTCTTAGAGGAGAAAAGTGCTTAAAAAGTGCTTAAAAGTGCCTAAGTAAATTCAGGAAACAAATTGAATTAGTAATACTTTGTAAATTTAAAAGTCAGATCTTTTCTTCAGTAGTTCTGCCTCATGTTAGTAAGGGTATGTTATTTTCTTTTTGTCACGTGAAAATCTCCTTTACCCAGTCTACATTATGACTTTTGTTGTTCAATCAGATGTGATTCTTTTTAGATTTAATTATGTTTCAAAGGTTTGTAAGTTCAGAATACTGAATTTACTAGACCTAAACAAACTTAAAAATAAGATACCCATTGTTTGGACATGATGGCAAAATAAGATTTGGGATTTTTTTTTAACCGAGAATCTTTCACTTTTTTTCCCCATTATAGTTTGGAGGCAAGAACAGCTCTGTCACATTGATCAGAATTTCACTGGGGCTAAAAGGAAAGCTGCTTTATGTGAACTTTTAGAAAAAGAAACACAAATAATTGCTTCCATTGGGAGGCAAAGAATCCTTGCCAATAATCGGAAGTATGAAAAGTCAATATTCACATTCTTGGATAAGGTTGGTGAAATAATTGTCATTTGAATATTAATAAATCCTAAGCATAAAAATGTGACAGAAAGCTTTAAACTAGTGGAGACAACACATTTTGTGAATGTTCTTGAATTGTAATTAGCACCTTACTTATCAATTAAGAATGTATTTGCTGATAAATCCCTATTTAATGGATTTGGAATCGGAGAGGACCCCAGTCCCAATTCCAGCTCTGCCAATAAAAACCTGTGTAGCGTTAGGCAAATCATTTGTTTTAGTTTAGCCTAAATTTCTTCATTGGTAAAATAAGGGGGTTGGACTGGATGATCCTATAAAACTCTTTCCAACACTAACATGTGATACTGTGATCCTTTACAACAGCCTCAAATGGAGATTAATAATATGAATCATATTTTCTTATAAAATGAACATAATCTAAGCAAAAGAGATTTGCCAAGACAGAAAAAAGAAACATGTTTGTGATCCTTTTGGTTTGGATTTAGGTTGACTATAAAATGGCACAGGTAAATATGTGGGTTGCTTCGGTGATTTTGTCTTCCTGGGTCAGGCAGATTCCTCCCAGCAACTTGTGGGATATAGTAGTGATTCATTGCTTTACTCTAGCACAGCAGGTCATTTTGTGACTGGAAATTCTTGACCAAAAGGGCACTACTATTATTGTAAACTGTATAAACATAGAATTAGGAAAAAAATGTAATTACCCTTTTGTGTGTTGAAACTGCCTATTTGATATTGAACAACCTGATGCCATGGGGATGAAATTATTTTTATATTGTTGACTTTCCAATATAATTAAAAGTCAATAAAGTAGAAAAGGGGAAGAGTTTTCAAAGTACCTATTAATTGATGATGATGTTTCGCATTCTCTATTCAGCATATAGTCTATAACTTATCTGAGGGTCTCAAAGTATGTATAGTATAAACCACATGTATTTAAACTATGTAATACTTCTTTAGCTAAGGTAACTAATAGTTACATGATCTTATTCACCAATAAAAATCAGCTACCCCTTCTGGAGTGAAATGAAACAATTTATAAACAGTATGCTGAAAGCAATTTCAGTGAAGATTACCATTAACAGTGAAGATGAAATAAAGACACTGTAGTAAACTACGGAAGTCCCTGGGAGGCACCTTGAGTGTTTTTTTTCTGGACATCCTCAGGAGAGTATTGTGCTGAAATGAAGTGTGGACTTTAGAATTTTCTAAAAAAAAAGAGTTCTTTGTAATTCTAGAAATGTTGTGGCTTTTCTTCTTTTTTTTCTTTTTCTTTTTTTTTTTTTTAGGCAGTTAGGGTTAAGTGACTTGCCCAGGGTCACCCAGCTAGTAAGTGCCAAGTGTTTGGTCTGAGGCTGGATTTGAACTCAGGTCCTCCTGACTTCAGGGCCAGTGCTCTATCCACTGCACCACCTAGCTGCCCTATGTTGTGGCTTTTCAAAGAAACAATATTCTGGATTAAGTGGGCACTCTTGGAGCTATGTTTCAACAGTTCATACTTAATCCAGACAGAACTTCTATCATTAATCTGGTGTTAGGTAGACCTAATTTATCAACAAGGGAATTATAATAAATATTTATATAATCTTATTTATAATTGGGCTTTAGTTGATAAAGTTTTTTACTCTCTGAAGAGTGGAATACCTCGATAGACTAATGATAGGCTCCATCCCAAAGATAGCCTCCGTGCCCTAGTAAAAAAAAAAAAGTCCTCAAATGGTAGTTAGAGGGCTTAAATGTGAAACCTTGCTCTATTGTGACAACGGTGAAGTTATTTCACCTCTGAGAATCTCATTTGTAAAATGAGGGGATTAGACTACATCTTCTCTAAGTACCCTTCCATCTCTAAATCCCCTGATCCCAGTGAATGATCCCTACAGGAAAAGCCATTTTCCCATTTGATTTCAAGATGAGAGATATGAATTGGGGATTGCTAAACACTGAAAGATCCCTGGTTTTGATAGATGAATAAATTTGATGAACCCTATTCTAAAAGGCAACTTGGTTTTATATGAGTTTCCAGTATCATAAAGAAATGTAAACTTGTCATGGCTTGCTCCTAGTAATTTTACTTTATTTTATTTTTTGACACTTAATAGATGTTTATTGGATGAATAAAAAAAATTGTAAATTTGAAGCATTTTTGAACACCTGACTTTCCTTCTACCTTTTACAATCTTCACTTGGTAATTCAACACATGGACCCTTGAATCCCTTACTCCTAGTACTATTACTAGTTCTGCCTTGCCAAACTGCCTTCTGCCTCCTTTGCTCCTACTCCAGGATTGGTAAAAGCTGTTGGAGAAAGTCATGTGACCACATGCTGGGTTCCCTACTAATTTATGTTATCTAATCTCTGATAGGATCTCAAGGCTACAGGGTAATCTTTTTATACTTTCTTGATTGACTATCATGCTTTCCACCCAAGCTATTCCAAACCTTTCCTTGTCTTCTAAAACCCCTATGTCAGTCTCTCCCTCACAATAGAGGAACTCACTTCAGCTACACACAGAGGTGTTCATAATCTTGACCTTGCTATGATCCAGAAAGGTTCTGCTTCCATATCTAGTCTTTTATCATCCCATCTTACTCTATGCCTCACCCCTAACTTTGATCCCTAACTCCATTCTATGTCTTCATAGTCCTCCAATGCCTCTCCATGTGGTTCTTTCCCAGGCCAGCAGTCCTGCTCTTACCATATTCCCTATTTCAACCCCTTGGTGAATCAGTTCAGCTCGGTTCTATCCATTATACACCTGCTCCCTCGTCCTATCAGGCCTTGCCAAACTCCAAACTTGAAATTCTCCCATCATTTGCTTCCTTTGCTCTGCTTGACATGCTGTTGAACAGAGCTGATGAGAATCGTGGCACCACTTAGATCAGGCCCATTACTAATTTATGTTATTTAATCTCAACTGGGCCCTTACTATAGTGCAGTAAATTTTCTACATATCAGTTTGCTATCCCATTCACCAAACCACTCACCACTGATCCAAAACTTTTCATCCCTCCTTAAGCCTCTTGTCACACTTCCTTCCCACCTTCTCTCCAACGAGGACCTTAATTCATAGTTAATTGGAAAAAAGGAGGCTGTTCTATGAGATTTCCGTTTTCTTCTCCTCTCTACTTCCCACATTAGCCAAAAAACTTAACACATTTTCTTCTCTTTCATCCCAGTCTCACATGAAGAGGTGACCCTTCTCCATGCAAAAGGACCCGTCCCATCCTGTCTTCTTCAGCATTTTTCTCTCTCTCGCTCCCCCTTCCTTTTGCATCTCTTCCTGCTGTTTTTGTGTTTCGTAAGTCTGGTGCTCTGCTCTCATTTGTTGGCAGCTAACTGAAATTTATGAAGGGCCCACTTTCTGAAGCAATTCAGAGAACGTGATTATTGTGCATTTCTTATTGTTGCCAGGATATTCTATGGAAGAAGGCGGCTATGAAAGAAAATCAACCCATTTGAAATGGTCATACCCACAACTGCAAATCCTTGCAGGCCTGAAATCAGAGAATTCAGAAACTGAAAACCAAGTTATTAGTGTTGGCAACTTTGGGGCACTTAGCGGAGGTTAGTATTTGTTAGTGAGGCTGTGTTTTATTTATGAGCACTTTGTCTCCTTTTGAATGATGCCTTTAAATAAAAACCCAGCCTGCTTGTAAGAAGATTTCAAAAGGTTTATACTTTTTGAGAGAGAAATTTTAAAAAATACCCAAGAATTCAATGAATTTGCTTTTCTGTTTTGTAGGGAGGTCAGTCTCAACTTTCCTTACTTTCTCTTATCTGAAGTTGACACTGAAGGGAGAATAATTTCTGGGATATAGGAGTATTAATGGCAATATACTCCACTCCCCTGTCTGGAGGGCTGCATAGGGCAGATATACAATCCCAGATCTCTTTTGTAAGTGGGTACACTGAATGTTTTCAGACTCATTTTTTACTTAAAAAAAATCCAAGTTTATTATTGAAAGGGTATATAATCCATTAGTACTTTAAAATCTTGTTGCAAATCCAGTTAATTTGCGATTTAAAGGTATCATTCATCAAAGAAACAACTACATATAAAATACAATTTCATTGAAATAGCTAGGTTGTATAGTAGAGCATTGGGCTTAGAGTCAGGAAGATCTGAATTCAAGGCCTGATTCAGATAATTAGGTGTGTGCATATGGAAAAGTCACTTACCACTCTCTCACCTTCAGTTTCTTTATTTCTAAAATGGAGATAATCCAAACTGTAGCATTTACCTCCCTGGGATGTTGTGAGGATCAAATAAGATAATATACATGAAGCTCTCTGCAAATCTTGAAGTCATTTCTTATTATCTCTTCCATTGCCCCAAATTATCAGTACTGGTGAATTGTTTGTCAGTTCTTAGATTCTTTGATAGCAACTTTCATAGATGTATAGAAGAAAGGTGGTGATACAGAAATAGGTGTTACCTTGAATTGATTGTAGATAGCATCAGAAGAGAATATGTTATTGTATAAATTTTTGTATTGTGAGAAATGAGTGGCTGAGCAGCACAGTGAAGGATCACAGGAAAAGGAGCCAAGAGACCTGGGCTGTCCGAGAGTAGCAGAGCCAATTAGAAGCTCTTTGACTAGATTTGTTGTTTGACCTTGGACAAATTCCTTTATTTAAGATTCTCTTGGGTTCCATGTCTCTCTTGTGGGAATAATAGCAATTCCCTACCTCCTCCTTCAGATTGATTCTAGGGATCACATTTGCCGGTCACCTATTTATTGAGCACCCATATGTGTCTAGGACAGTGAGACAACCTTCATGTTATGTGACAGGGGCCTTTTGAGAGCAGACAATAAAGTTGGAAAGACAGGATGAAACGGAAAACAATTAAGTGCTAACTTTGAGGTACTGACTGTAAAAGTAATACGAGATCAAATTAGTGAGAAATCCTGGTGGGATAGAATAATTAGAGAAATCTTAATGGAGGAGGTAGGACTTGAAAGCTAAGCAGGGTCTGACTAGGAGATCCTCTATGTGAAAAGGCTTCGAAGTGTATGGAGCCCTCACTAAATGGCAGAATATCACCACATTCGACAGAAAGGGCAGGGAAAGAATGGCATCTTATAATACTTTTGACATTTGATTGTCTGAGGCAGGAATCTCTGAAAAAAGATATTTATAACTGAATTATTACAAATGAAATAAGTTGCTGACCAGCAGAGTAAAATTACACAGAGGAAAAGAATATATAACAATTGAGGTAACACAAAACTTGGAATTAAAAACTTGACTTAAAATTACATAACCATTATAGCTTTTAAGAAAAAATCATAATTTTCAAGGGGAAAGAAAGTCACAGAAATAAAATCTTTTTTTAAAAATTAAAAAAAAAAAGAAAATTAAACTTTGATTTCTCTCTGTGGGACCAATAATAAAGAAGGCTGTGTTCATTTAGAACAACACTTTTGATTTCTAATTCATCAGTCCTAAATGTTATACTATTTTATAATCAAGTTATTTCCATTCTACTTCAAAGTGCTTAATAGGTTTCAAATTAATTCTATTAGTTTTAAAATAAATTACTTAATTTTAGATTTGTATTTTAATGATCCACATCATTTATGGTTTCTGAGGTTTGATGTTTTCTTGAGACCAGTCCTGAGAATGTAGAATTTTAAAACTTCCTTTCTAGCCATGAACCTACTTTTAGTTTGTCCTTTAGCTGATTGCTTAACATTGCTAATTACATGTACTAAAAGGGTGGAAGAAAATGGCATAATTACTGAAAAATATAAAATATTTTTTAAAAAAACATAGTTTTTTCTCATTATAAAATTACCTGATACTTCTGAAAAGAAATTTGAATGGAAACTTGCAAATATAGCTTGAAATACTTTTTAGTAACATAATTAGTAATATAAAATATATTTATTAATATAATATTATATCTGTCTCCATTTTGCTATTTCAAGGGGCAGCTAGGTGCCACTGTGGGTAGAGAGCTGGGCCTGAAGTCAGGAAGACTCCTTTTCTTGAATTCAGATCTGATCTCAGTCACATACTGGCTTGGTGACTCTGGCAAATCTCTTAACCCTATTTGCCTCAGTTTCCTCATTTGTAGCTAGAAAAGGAAATGGCAAACCCCTCCAGCATCTTTACCAAGATAACTCCAACTGGGGTCACGAAGAGTCAGACATGACTGAAAAATAACTGAACAACAAAACACCTCCTCATTTGTTCTAGCTGTCATTCCTATTTACATTTAACAAGGTAACAAAATCAAGATTGACAAAGTACTATCACAAGCAAAGCATCCTATGACTAGGGCCAAAGCTATCAAAAACAGTCTCCAGTCACCCAGCAAATATATTCCATTTCAAAACAATTATCAAGTAATTTCATGAATCAGTCTCTTGAACTCTCATAGCCTAGTTTTAGATAGATTATACCTAAGGAAGAAAATTAACCTGTCAGCACTTTGGGTAGATCCTCTGTGAAGGATTTATGGGCAGAACATAGACAAGAATCTCACTGAATGAGAAACCATGTATAAGTTGCAGTGGTCAAGAAGAGGAGATACCCATATCAATGAGAACATGGATGCACATGTGTAATATGTATATATGCATATTATATATGCATATATACTTATGTGTATGTGTATATATACATATATATTTATATACACACCCACACCCACATTGCAGTATAAGAGTATCACATTAATGTCAAACAAATGTCATGTAGCGTTTTTTTATCCATAAGTAATTTTAGGTTTATTTTGCACTGATGTAATTTTAATCCTTAATCCATTCAGTTCATCTGTTTATCTCTTTCTTCTCTACCTCCTAATCCCAAACTCATGTATGAATGCACAAGCAAAAAGTCAGTGGAAGGAACAAGAATCTAGAGAGAAGTCACTTCTCTCCTCTCTTCATAGTTCTTGGCTTGATAGCCTATCAGGGGTGGGGAACCTTCGAGACCACATGTGGCCCTCTAGGTCCTCAAGTGTGACCCTTTGACTGAATCCAAATTTCATAGAAAAATCCTTTTATTAAGGGGATTTGTTCTGACTAGATGTGTTGTTTGACCTTGGACAAATTCCTTTTCCTAAGGTTCTCTAGGGTTCCATGTCTCTCTTGTGGGAATAATAGCAATTGGTGGGTGTCTCCATGGTTAATGGCTATAATAGGTTGCAGCTGTGGCCAAGTGTTAGGGGAACTAGACTGCAGACTACACAACTTGACAATTTGGGATTTCTCAGTTTAGCGTTCTGAGTCCAGAGCTACAGAGCCCCAAACTGGAGTAATGATAGAGCCCATGGACCCATAGTACTTATAACTACAGAAATTACTAAGGAAGCAGTGTCTCTTGAAAAATACTCACCTTATAATTTTGTAACAGTTTAAAAATAACTATTCCTCTTATTAGATTTAACAAACTGTTGGTCTACTACATTAGTTGCCACTAAAATAGAGTTGATTTGGCAAATCATGTCCTCTAGAGGCAACCTCCTCAACATTCTAGTCTTTATGAAATGGCAAACAATGGTTTTTTCGTTTTTTTTTTTTTTGGTTTTTTTTTTTTTTTTTTACTGTTTCACACTGGTTCCTTGGAAGAAGCTTCCACATGGTTTCTATCACATTTTCCAAAATTGGTAGTCCCTAATATTTCATATTCCTATTCTATGAAAATTTCAAGATTGTATCAACTGTTATGCATTAGAATATTCCTTTAAGTGTGTCAAGATTTTCTGAGCTATTCTCCGTTGGGCTTCTTTTCCATGGTGCGAGCAATTCGCTACAGTGTTTAGAAGGTCGATAGCCCGTTTTGGGCAGAAATCCAGTGGCTGATGAGCTGAATGGCGATGTCTAGGACAACGTCTGCCAACATTGGGCATCTAGGGACTGAAGGATTCATACTAATCATATGTCATAATCATACTAGTTTTTAAACATGTAAAACATAGTTTCCGCACTTTGGTAGGTGGGTTACTCCATATAATCCCTTTTTAATTCACCATACTATATACTGCAACTACTTATGAAAACAAATAAAATATTTTTTTCTTTTTTAAAATTTTATTTATTTTATTCTGAACTTAAGAAATAAAACAAGCATTTCTTTAATATAGTAGAATAGAAAAAAAGATGATTGTATATGAAACTATTATGTACAACTTGCTATTCCTTTTAAGTATATGATGAAGTTATCATGTAACTTTCTTTTTTTCTTTTTCTTCCTCTTTTTCTTCCCTCCCTCCACCCTAGAGATTGCTACCATTAGACACAAACATGTATGTGTGTATGTGTGTGTGTGTGTATACATGTAAAACCATTCTATATATACTTCTATTTAGCAGTTCTTTCTAGATAGCATCTTCTTCCATAAGTTCTTTGTGGTTAATTTGGGTATTTATAATAGTCAAAATGACTTAGTCCACTCAAATTTGTTCTTAAAACAAATTGTTGTTACTGTATACAATGCTCTCTTGGTTCTGCTCATTTCGCTCTTCATTATTTTGTGCAAGTCTATCCAGGTTTTTCTTAAATCATTGAACTCATAAATTTCTTATAGCACAATAGTATTCCATCACAATCATATACCATAATTTGTTCAGCCATTTTCCAGTTGATGGGCATCTCTGCAATTTCTGGTTCTTTGCTACCACAAAGAGAGCTGCTATAAATATTTTAGAACATGTAGGTTCTTTTCCTTTTTCCTTAGTCATCTTGGGAAACAGACTTATTAGTAGTATTCCTGGGTCAAAGGGTATAGGCAGTTTAATTTTTCTACAAATAAAACAGTTGTAGCCTAGATCAGAAGGAAAGCAGAAAATTGGGGAAAATTTTATAGACAGATTCTCAGATAAGGGTCTCATATATACATGTCTCAAATATATAAAGAACTTTGTCAAATCTACAAGATCCCCAATTAATAAATGATCAAAAGATATGATCAGGAAGTTTTCTGATGAAGAAATCAAAACAATTTAGAATCATATAAAAATGCTCTAAATAATTATTGATTAGAGAAATGCAAATTAAAACATCTTTCAGTTATCAGTTTATACCTGTCATATTGGCCAAAATGATCAAAGGGAAAAGCAACTAATGTTGGAGAGGATATGGAACAATTGGGACATTGATTCACTGTTGGTGGAACTGTGAACTGATCCAGCCATTTTGGAGAGCAATCTGTAATTATGCCTAAAGAGTTATTAAACTGCCAAATAAAAGGTTAAAAATAGTCTATCTTCTAACTAATTATAGTACTTAGTTACACTGTTTCTGACTGTTCAACATTTCTATGTTCTTACAAATCTTTAATTCATTCTCTTAATTATAATTGATATTCTTATCAATGATTGTGTTCATTTAACATGATATTTAGGTAATCTTTTGGTTGGAAGCAACAACACAGATATCTTCAGTATTTAATGAATTAATATTAATACAAATAAATGTATTTCTTGAAGTGTTCAGCTCCAAAGAAGTGGATATCATCTGATGACAGAGAAATATTAATGGATACACAATATACTATCAGAGCCAGAGAGCTGCAAGATATCTATAACTGCATTATAATTAAAAACATCTGTGATGATGAGAGGCTAGATGTGCTGTTAACACTGAAACACACTGTAAAGGTACTTTTCTTTTTGATTTTGGGCTAGAAGGAATGTTTTGATTGAATCCTGATGTAAACCCAAAATATCTCCAAGTAAATAGTTATTAAGGTGATTAATAGATTCATTATATGAATGAAATCTTATTTTTTATCAACCAACCCAGCTTTTCTTACTTAAATTTGGCAGATTATGGTTTTGTGGTTTCACAGTTAGTGTCCATCATGACTTATATTGTACTTTCATCTTTTTCTTCTATGAAATATTTGTATTTAATTCAGAGAATGGCATAATGCTAAATACTTCATTCAGAAGTAGGAAGAGAAACAATGTAAGCAAAAGGCACAGTGTTAATTCTGACAGAGCCAGGCATGTGCAGAAGAGTATGTGGGGACCAGCCCCGCTGGAGTGGAATGTGTACCTGTGTTGGGCATACTGAGATTCACCTACTGGTTGATGGAGTCATATGTCCCTAATTTTCTTACTTGTTCTTTTGTCCAATTTCCTTTTCTTTTTTTTTGCTCTGCTCATCTTAGTTGCAGTTATCTTTTGCATTACCATGTCTATCCTGTTCATCTCCTTTTTAATGATTTTCTCTTCTTTCCTGGTATTTTCTTATTCAAACACTCTCTTTCATATTAAAATACAAGTGTTAGTTTCTTTTAAAAAATATTCTGCATGATAGATCAGGAAATTGATAGTAATGAAATGATCAAAATTTGTCAAAGAACTTTTTGTCTTCTATAGGAACATGAATGTAAACTGACCCAGGACATCTTAGAATTGATTGACCGAGAGGTTGATCTTATGATGAGAGGAGTTAAAAGCTGTAATCTTGAAGGACTCAGAAAAAGAATAGCTACACTATTTCTTCAATACATTAAAACACCCTTGTTTAATCCTGAAGTTGCCAGATACCTTAAGGTATTTTTCTACTTTTTCTATATTATCTTTTCTATGTTTTCAGCTATAATATGCATGGAAAAATTTAAAAAATACTGCAGGCTTGTTTTTGAACACCATGAACACTTAGCAGTTTAACCTACTTAAAGGGTAGGCCTTTTAGTACATCAGTAACTAAACACTTTGCCCAGGGTGGGGGGAAGGTTAGAGTTAGGTTAGAGTTCGTCATTGAATCTTTTTTTTTTTTTAACCAAATTCAACCAGAAACACTATTGACCTCCTAGAATAAGATTGTAGTATTGTAAAAATGACCAGTGTATACCCCAGTGAATCAGAGGTAGCCAAGGCAACCTCATTCCTCTAGAACAGAGATATCAAATTTGTGGTCTCCCTGCAAAAGTTACAAGTGCAGCCTGAACTGGATTAAAATGTAATTGGGAAATGTTTAACAAAACAAATAAAAATACAGTACAACATAGATAATGTTGATTTGTGGTTTTCTAAGTCAATATACCACAAGAGGGATCTGATTCTATTTGAGTTTGATACCACTGTTCTAGGGGATCTCAGGAAGTAAGTTAAAACAGCCCCTGAACACCTGAGCTAGCTATCATAAAGCTAAAGCCTATGTGCTATATTCCATAGGTTAAGCCCAGAGGTTCTCACTCTGAGCCTATTTGCCCTTTCATAACCTACATTTATTAACAAATTTGTTTATCTAGATTCTCAGCATGTAACAGGATAGAAGCAGCAAGTTAGAAACAGGATATTAACAATTAAAAACCGGCTAAAACAACAACAATGAGAAATAACAACTATTATCGAAGGATACTTAAACTCAAAAAGCCAACCTAAAACTGTGCCCCATATCATTGGATAAGTTCATAATCATGATCTTCAGTCATCAAAAAGAACTGAAATTTTATTGAGTAGTCTCTTTCATAAGGCAGAGATTAATGTAATAGACTGCATACTGTAGTAGAAGAGGGAAATATATTAAGAGCCAGGAGATGTATGTCTAATCACGGCTCTGCCATTAACCACCTTAGGCCTTAGGCAAGTCATTGGATTTCTCTGGTCCTTAGTTGCTCCATCTGTAAAATGTGAGAGCTGGACCTGAAAGGGCCTCGACGCTTTGAAAATTCCAAGACTCTAATGTGATTTCCATTAAAAATGGTAACATTTTTTCAAATCTTAGTATGTGAGGAGGTAAACCTTAATTGTTTCAGAAGTTATATTTTGTGGAGCACCTTAATGCTGCTAAATAGATAAGGCATTTGCCACAAGGCCCTTTCCTGTGAATTCAGGAAGGGGTTACTGAAATAAAAGAATTAGGTGGATATGTGGCCTCCTCAGTATGGCTCTTTTGTCCCAGCCCCTCCTCTACATCTTCCCACTTTGTATGATTTCTGCTCATTAAGGCACCAATGGCCTTTTCCTCATTCTTTTAATATCTCCAGTGTGGCATCTGCCTGACTCCTTCTTATCACATGACCGGCCCCCTTCTTTTTCTGGTTGTCCATAGGAAAACTTAAAGGAACCTTTATGTTCTCTATTGTATCTTTGCTGCCCCTTCTCATATTCAGGTCATGGATAGTCCAACCATTTGGCATCTTTCTTTTACCTTTTCAGAAGCAGGAAAGATACTTTCATCCCATGAGCCATTTTAATTTAGGTAAACATAGTTTCTATTTGAACAAAAGATGTTTATCACATGTCCTATTAAAAAATAATTAGGGAAATAAACTTAATTACCTTTTATGCAGGAGAGTGTTAACTGTATAATTTCCTAATTATAGAGTGCGAAAAATTCCTCATCCTTTATTCTCCATCCAGATTCTTGTACTTGTCATTTACAATGTCATTGTCAGTTGCTGCAGAGTTTTATGAAGAATCAGTAAGGGTTCACTGGAGAACTTTTGGAGAGTTAAATCTTGCATCTTTGCCCCAGTCACTTTCTACCTGAAACTTGGGCTCTTGGACACTTAGGCCCTAGTACTCGATCCCAAAGGGGCATGGGTGGCAGCCTTCATCCTGATAGGTAAAGCCCTGGAAGGACACAGAGGACCCTGTAGCTCTTCAAGGAAGAGTTGTGCTTATTAGCTTTAATGAAGTCCACTCATATTCTTAGCCCTGTGTCATGTCCACAAAACAGGAAGATAAAGACCTTTTTCCAAGGTTGAACTAATCAGCAGAGTTAGAAATGAACTCAGAAATTTTGTCTCTTCAATCTTTGTTCTAATTCCTAGAACCATTTTCTTACCCACAAATTAATTAAGATTTTAAATTGATAGACAAATTTTCCTCTCAAGAACAAAGGTATTGTGTAAATAAATTTTAAATGAGCATTATCCTTTTGGAAGATGAAAGATCTATGAGAAAGGAGTAGAGAAGAGAGGAGGAGAAAAGTGAAAGATATTGAGAATGCAAGAAAGCATGGGGAATCAGTGAACTATTTTAACCCTATACGAGAAAGCATGAAATACCCTGACATTAATTCCTATTCCCTACTCTATGAAGAGATACTTTATAGAACCCTTCATATTATAAAAATGTCTAGTGAAGCAAGCTCATACTCTGCTCTTGCCTGGTCCCTTGAGGGAGCAGTCAGTGTGGATTTAGACCTGTAGGCGGTCTTAATCTTCTTTTGTGTCCAAGGTCATGTCGGCAGTTGGGTGAAGACTTGGGTCCCCTTTTCATAATAATTCTTTTAAATGTGTAAAGTAACATGCATAGGATTACAAAGGAAACCGCGGAGTAATGAAAATAAAGATGTAATGTTTTTCCCATCCAAGTTCACAGACCTCTGAAGTCTATTTCACAATCCTCCTGTATGATATTCTACCCAGAGCTACTGAATCAATTTGTTTGTTCGCTGAATCATTTCTTATCCCCTACTCCTCTGAAATCCTTAAATGTCCAATTTCCTCTGAATTAATGTTATTGTTCTTATACATAGTCCAAACTGGTTGGTAAAGTGATTGAAATAACTGGATCATCTAGTTGATAATTCTGTTATTTATGCTGTCTAGACATGGTCTGATTAGAATAAGTAATGCAGTGTGCTGTTGGAAATGCAGAATGTCTAACGTCTATACACACACACACACACACACACACACACACACACACACACACTAATGCTGAAAGACTTCTAGGAGTCAGGAGATACGAATTCTAGCCCTTTCACTGATTAACTTAAAGACCATGAACCTAATTACTTATTTGTAGGATGGCCTTGGTCTCCTCAGCATAGAGTGGGGAGAATTCTTTATCCTTTATTAACCTGTATGTGTTTTCTCCCTAGTACCTGGTACATAGAAGGCATTCTCCAACATGCTTGTTGGAGAAAAGGAACTGTCTAACTTTTTTTATTTGCATACCTATTGCTTAGACAATGCTTTGCCCATAGTAAGAGCTTAATAAATGCTCTGTCATTTATTCATTCATGACAACCTCTACACTCTGGGACAGTTTACTTAATTTCTTTGAATCTGTTTCCTTATTTGTAAAATGGAAATATTTATACCTACCGTCTATTAAACAGAAGGTTGTTTTGAAAGCATTTTGAAAATTATAAGGCATTTTGTGAATATATTGTTATTAGGAATGTATTTCCATATCAACTTCACAGAAAATTGTTGTTTTCTTAATAATTGGTGAGAGATTCCTTTGTCTAAAGTATTTAAACAGTTATACTTTTTGGAACATAAATGGTTTAGTATCTAGTTTTAAAATAAAAAAAATTCCTAGAGCTGTAAATGTTGTTAAAACACCATTTTAATATGCAAACTATCAGTATATATGTTGATCATTAATGGACTCTTATGATTTTTAAATTATCAGAGCTAGTGGTTCGATCTAAGATTGAAATCTTCCAATTTTTCTATTTAGGTTCCGCAAGATCCAACAGAGTTTTATAAAAATACTTACTTTTGTCGCAGTTGTGAGTTGTATTTGCCATCCACAGAGTTCTCCATCTCGTCCACTTCCTACCATGTTAGCAGATGTCGTCAGTGCTGTACGCTTGACAATGAAGCCCGACAGCGTGAGGCATTTTTGAAATACAAGTTTTTACTCAAACAGCTCTATCAATCAGAAGCTGATTATGAAGATGATTCTAAGATTGCTTATCTGATGCAGGTATGATCTGTATCATCCATTAGTGACTGATCGTAGAGATGATTGTCTCTCTTTGGCTTGGCTCTCTCCATAGCATTTTGAAATGGAGTGATAGTAACACCAATCAAAAACACTCTGGAGTGAGAACCGTGTGGATTGGTTGTATAGTTCTAGAGAAGTGTGCACAATTCTTGAGCCACTTTCTTTTGACTCCATTCTGAAGGAATAGGTATAGGCATGATTTCCTCTCCATAATATGGTGACCTTTGTTCTATACCTTTGCATTATATAGACTTAGACCTTCCTGTGTTTGGGGAATTGATTGTCTCTAACCCAGAAAGCTAGCCCTCAAGAAGGAAGGCAGGTTTTGTTTTGTAAAGTGATGTCAATTTATGAAATAGCCTTATTTTTCAAATGCTCACTAACATTAAGTAGAGTTTACTCTTTAAAAGTAAACTCCTTACTATGTGTGAAATGAAGCAATACATTGTAGTAACTAATTGCAGCAGAAAATATATTACATCTTATTCTGTGTGACCTAGGTGTATTCATTCATTTCACATAAATTAGCATTTGATCAAGTCAGGGCTATTGGCAAATGATTGATTCATCTAATCACGTAGACTTAGCCATAGTTGCAGCAAAGTACGGTCAGAAAACCACAGAATTTCATAATTTCAAGGAACTTCAGCAGTCATTCTGTGCCTAAAAAAAAAGAAAGAAAAGAAAAGAAAGAAATAGCCTCCACAACATACCCAGCAAGTGGTCATTTGACTGGAGATGATCCAGTCTCCAGAGATAGGAAACCCACTTTCTCCTTGAGGTGCCCCACTCCACTTTTGCATGGCTCTGATTATTGGAAGTTTTTCCTTAAATCAAGTCTAAATTTGCCTTTTTGTAATTTATACACATTGTTCTTAGTTGCATTCTCTGAGGCTGAACAAAACCTATCTCAAGGTTTCCTATTTCCTCTAAACTTAAATACTATTAGCAGTTGAAGTGTCTAACCTCTAGTCTTAGAATTGTATTAGATTATGATCTTCTCAACAGCTGTTTTTCATCGTTATATCACCAGGACCTAACACCATGCATGGCATGAAATAAATGTTTGGATTGACTTGGACAGAGAATAAAGATAAATGGGGCCTGAATCTGAAAACCTGACCTCATTAGCACTCTGCACTAACAAACAACGGAGCTCACTGTATTGCACCTTGAGAAATAAATAAAACACAAGACAAGGTTTCCTGTTGTATGTTTACATGCCTGGGTATTTGTAAATCTCATTTTTAGCGCAAGGAACAGAAGATGTAGCAGGAACACAACAGTTATCTTCAAATATTTAATGCAGGGTTATCACATAAAAGGAGAGTGAGAATCCATTCATTCCTTTCATTTCTAAGGCATTTATTAAGTGTATTCTTTATGTAGAGACACAGTGCTAGGCACTAGGAATACAGAGACAAAACAAAAATCAAACTGCCCTCAAGTAGCTTCCTCTCTATTAGGGAATACAGCATTTAAAACAGAGAAATACAATACAATTTAAGGAGGGCAAAAGCACTGGCAACTAGACCAATAAAGGCTTCCCAAGGAAGGTATTTTTATCCTAATAAACAGAGATAAGGAGGAAGTACATTCCAGGCAAAAGGAACAATCTGGAAAGGCCTGAAGGCAGGAGATGCAATGCTGATCTGGGGGCAAAGCAAGTAACTGAGTTTGGCTGGACTGGAGGGTACATCTCAGGGAGTCCTGGGAGATAAAGATGGCAAGGTCAACTTGAGCCACACTGGGGAGTTTGCCTTGCAATGCCAAAGGAATGCAGCAGTGCCTCTGCATGGAGTAATCAAATGATTAAAGGAATGAATGGATTCTTACCCTCCTTTCATGTGATAACCCTGCATTAAATATTTTTCAACATGCAATACAGTGAGCTCAGTTGTTTGTTAGTGTAGAGTGCTAATGAGGTCAGGTTTTCAGATTCAGCCTCCATTTATCTTTGTTCTCTGTCCAAGTCAATCCAGCATTTATTTCATGCCAAGCATGGTGTTAGGTCCTGGTAATATAAAGTTGAAAAACAGCTCTTGAGGAGATCATAGTCTAATAAAATTTTAAGACTAGAGGCCTAATTCCTGGTTAGACATTTCAACAACATCTGCTAATAGTCACAAGAGACCTGATAGGAGTGAGTTTTAGTGCAAATCTATAACCATTATTGGATATATCCATCATTAAAAGTGGGTTCTAAAAGTCAAGTTCACAAAGAGATGGTGAGGAAGGTATTGCTAGCAAGTTAAACAGAAAAAGGTCAGTCACTTAGCTAGATCGATATAAGTTAAAAGGACTAAAAAAGCAAATGCTGCCATCACGTCCCCCCCACCCCATACCCCCCATACAGAGCAAGGGACTTTGCTCTACTTTGCCAATTCTGGAATGCTATGATTAGATGTAGTCACCATATTTTAGGAATGATATAAGGAAGATAGAATGTGTCTAGAATAGGGTGACCAGGATGGTGAAAGGATGAGAAAACACACCACATAAAGGCTGGTTAAAGGAACTGGAGGTATTTAGCTTGGAAAAAAATTTTAGAAGGAGTGTTTATGGCTGCATTTGAAGGGCTGTCATGTGGAATAGTGTCCTGCTTCACCCCAGAGAACAGAAGTAGAGGTGTATGGAAATTGGTGAGAGGCAAATTAAGACTTGATATAAGGAAAAAACTTCCCAACAATGAAGGATATCCCAAAGGAAAATGGGTTTCTTTGAGAGGTAGTGGCTTCCCTTTCAGGGGAGGTCTTCAAGCAGAGGGTAAGTGAATTAATTAGTAAATGAAGAAGTTATTCAACACCTTCTGTGTATCAAACACTATGCTAGGAAACTGGAGGACATACGAAGTTAGAAAAGAAATTTTCCCTACCTTCGAGGATCTTGTGTTTTTGCATACTAAAGAAGAAAGGAGAGGCATGAAATGATTGGCTTATCTTTGAAAATTTTAAGCATATTCATGTATACATTTAATTCTTTTGGCCAAGGCAGTATCATAATGTGGTAGACTAATTCCGGGAACTAGCAAAATGTAAACTGAAAATGATAATTTCTTTCTACAATAGCAGTAATAAATTTTCATAATTTACATTTCCCTTCTTCTTAAAATGGGGAATTTTGTACTTTCCTTCCTAAAATTATTTAATTTCACTTTATAAGTTTATTGCTCCTCCTAAGATGCATTCAAAAGCATTCTTAGATAATTTAAAATTCGTGCATGTCTTAAAAAAGTAGGATATACCTTTGGTAAAATTCAGGTTATGTATTAGCACACTATTAGGTTTATAGTTTAATATGTATCTTCTTAAACTATTTCCTCTTGGTAGCAATCAATCAGTAAATTAATCAACAAGCATTTATTAAGCACCCTCTTTGTACCAGGCACTGTGCTAAGTGCTAGAGATATAAAAACAAAGTGTTCTTCTAGGTTTTTTTTTTTCCTAGACTGACAAATATTGTCACTTTAATCATTGTATTGCCTTTTATGATGATTCTTTCTCCAGACCTGTAAGAATGTCATTGATATTTGTGGACTACATAGATGTGACTCTAGCTTGCATCCCTCTTATGTGTATTATTCTGGAAATTTTGGTGTCTTCATGACTTCCCTGCAGGCTTTACAAAATTAAGATCCTGCCACTAATGGAATTAGAGTGTTAGAGAAGTTCTGAAATGACTTTTCTAGAATTTAAACTTGATGACTCATTAACAGCACTTAATAGAAGCCATTTCTCATGTAGCATTGACTTCATCAATGAAGTTTGCGCATACAGAGCTACTTGGATGAGGTGAAGTACTCTGTAATTTACAGTTACTTTTAAAAGTAATCAGTCTCAATTAATACTAAATGGGAAAAGATGGCCATTCTTGTAAATGGAAAAAAAAATGTAGGAGTTAGAAAATACTTCTTCCCTTCAATAAAGAGTTACGATTTCATTAATGTGGCTCTTCCTTCCGCAAATAGAGAGTGCAGCCTCTCCATACATCAGTATATAATTTTCATAAATTGCTATGATAAAAAAGTGTTCTCGACAACCAGTTTTCTCGTGACGAGCCTCTTTACACACACCTCACGCCTGGTGCTCAGGTGATGGACTGGTGCTCCATTAATGGGACTATACACAAAGGCTTTACAGCTTGGCAGAACCTTTCAAAACCTGAGTGTTACTGGCAAAACCTTCTGTCACCTAAGATTTCCTTCATACCATGATGAGATCCAAGGGAAGAACCTCAAAAGAAGAGGTCCTGGAAAGTACGGACAGAAATAAAAAGTATTCCGAAGTTCTTCCAAATTTAAAAAAAAAATACATGATTTTTAATTTTAAAGTTACTACTGGTGAGGTGTTTCATTTTTATTGAGTATTTTGTTATTGGTAAAACTTTACCCTCTAATAAATAAATTCCCACAAGTCAAAACAGCACTATAAGCAAAAAATTGCTTATAGTAATGCAACCTTATACTTTAGTAGCATACCATTTGTTAAAATTTTAAAAAGGAGTGTGTGCTGTAAATTTACTAAGTTAATACCAAAACTAAGTTAATACCAAAATTTTTATCTTCAAAATTATTGTCATTCAGATCATTGTACTCATGGTGTATATTATTCTTTTGGTTCTGTCTTCTTTCCTTTGTATAGTTTCTTATAACTTCATATATTTCTTTGAATTCTTCCTATTCATTTTTCCTTGTGGCTCAATATTACTTCATTATATTCATATGCCATAAATTGTTCAGCTGTACCTCAATCCTTGGGCACACACAGATGGTATTCAACTTTTTGCTATTAATAATTTAGGGAGGAGATTTCTTTTCAAAGTTACATATATATGCATGCATATATATACATATATATATACGTACACATATATGTGTTGTTACAAATTTGAAACTTTTCATACTTTTAATATGAAAGATTCAAAGTATAATCACTGCTTATTAGGTTTGGGCTGCCTTTACTCGGGTCCTGAGAACTGGA